CTCCCTCTGCAAGCCGTCTGCGTTCTGCTGTTTATTTTGTTGACAGTTACATAGACAGATTCTTTAATACAAATGCATAAAATCGGTGATTTACAATGTGATTAGGTTGTCTGACAAAAACATCCACTTGCACAGTTTGAGATCGATTGGGTCATTGGATGAAGAGATATTTACAAAAAAACGGGTCCACATGCATTTCATGCCAAACTATAGACAACCTGATTTTCAGGGGTGAAAGAATAGTCATCCCTCAAGCAATGAGGCATGAAATGCTGCATAAAATACACACTGGACACATGGGCATTGAGAAGTCTAAACAACGTGCGAGATATATTATCTTCACACACAGATAACAGATATAATCTCCAGATGTACTACTTGTTTGGAACTCAGAAATTCTCAACAAAAAGAACCTATGATTCCAACAACTATTCCTACTAGGCCATGGGAGAAGATATGTACAGGTTTATTCATGTTCATTACTACTTCAGATACATCGAAATTGCAAGATTGGAGAACATTCTCAGCAAGACAGTTATAACTCACATCAAGTCAATATTCTCAAGACATGGAATACCGGTAGAAGTACGCAGTAAGAATGGACCGCAGTTTACATCACAGGAATTTCGAGAATTCGCAAGAGAATGGGGATTTCAGCATGCAACAACTACGGTAGTCCGTATCATTCACAGTCCAATGGACTCGCAGAGAAACCTGTCCAGATTGTGAAGAGAATGCTGGAGAAAGCGAAGATGGACAAGAAGGATCCCGACCTCAGTTTATTGGAATTAAGAAATACACCTATTGATGGCATTGGTTCACCTGCTGAAATTCTCATGAGTAGAAGACTCAGATCAACACTGCCTACCAGTACATCTCAACTTAAACCTCACATCATTAATCCAGAAGAAATCCAACATAAGCTCGGTAAGAAACAGAAAACTCAGGAGAAACATTTTGATAAGAACTGTAAAGAATTGTCAAAATTGGAAGATGGAGATGTAGTGTGAGTACAACAGAATAGCAGATGGAATCCAGCAGTTGTTGCTAAACAAGAAGATGTTCCTCGATCTTATCAGATACAGACATCTGATGGGAAAACCTACAGGAGAAATCGACGTCCCCTTCTGAAGACCTCAGGTGATAATGTTGCAGATTGTAGGAGATACCTATCCGAAGATGACGACGCGGAAGCAGTTACCACCGATCAGAGCGCTGATGACCAGGCTATTGGTGATCAGGCAATTGTCTCGGGTCAGCCATCTCCTATCCGAACGTCCAGTCGCAGAGCTGTTCGACGACCACGCAGAATCGAGGACTATGTGGGTACTGATGAACTGTGATGTTTCGTGTATATAGTGTATATACATGCGTGTTTCATAATCATAAATACATGTTTGCTATTCTATGGACTGTTAAAGTATCAAGTACACCCATATTCAATAAGTAGTCAGGAATAATAAGTAATCAAATAATCAGCTTTTCTGGTCACTGTCTAGAGACTTTAACTATGATCACAAATTTAAGTATAAGTTTACCTATATCAGTAACTGCTAAGCAGTTATTTTCGAACGGAGTTGCAATGATTGTAATTAGTTGTCAGTTAGCACTATCGCCCAGTGACATGCGCACTGGCCTATCGATGTAAACTGAAGGGCAAAAGAAAGTATAGGTCATTTTGAAGATCAGTAAAACAGAAACAACCCAAGATTTGGATTGTGTAATAGATGTTATTTGTAGCAAATTCATTTGCACTTTGCTGTGTGTACAAATCATCACATGGTTGAAAGAACTGAAAGGTGACATTGACATTCAAACAGTCAGGGGGTAAATATCAAAGTTACAATGATATTCCTTTGACGAATTGCGCACACAAAAGACAGAAAAGTTTGTTCCAGAACGATCACAACGTCAGTAGCATGTGTGTCCGCCATAAGCCTCGATGCACGCTCGTGCACGTCGTCGCATCGATGACGTCAAGCGTCGGATGACGGCATTTGGCAGTCGCTGCCATTCGTCCTTCAATGCCACTTCCAACACTTGTCTTTTAAAACTGTAATGGGCGTGGAGGGTGATGACGACCACGAATTTGTCTTCCCAAATGATCCCACAAATGCTCGATCGGATTCATATCCGGTGATCGAGAAGGCCATTAACGTTATTCTGATTAAGAAAGTTTCTCGTCGCTATTGCTGTATGGGGAGTTGCATTGTCTTGCTGAAACAATACACCATTTGGTTGATTGTTCAAGAAAGGTAAGACAAAAGGCTGCAAGACTTGATTTCGGTACTCATTAGCATTGAGATTCCCCTGAATAACGACCAAGGGTCTCGTTTGGTCGCCAATAATGTCACCCCCATACCATCACACCACCTCCACCACAGGCATGGACTTCTTGAATGCATGCTGCTGCAAAACGTTCACACCGTCGCCTGTAAACTCTCTGTCCGCCGTCTTTTTTGTGCAGACAAACCCGACTTTCATCGGTGAAAAAGACCCTACGCCAATCACGCACTTGCCAGCGGTATACTCGTCTTGCCCATTGCAGTCTTTCAAGTCGATGTTGTTGAGTTAGTCTCATTCCACGGAATGGTCGATAGCAACGTATTCCACCTGCTCTCAAACGTCTGAGGACAGTCCTTCGACTGATGCGACGTCCCAACGCTGTTTCTGCCGTTAACGTTGCCGTAACAAATCGATTTCGGAGGTGTATCAGGCGCATATGGTGATCTTCACATGCGCTGGTTACACGTGGGCGTCCACTCCTCGGCCTGTCCTGTGTTCGACCTGTCTGTCTGAATCGTTGGAGGAGTCTTGCTATCGTCAGTGGCGTACAACCAAATCTCCTTGTAATTCTGACGTTCGTCGCTCCCATATCGGACATCCCTATGGCCCTCTCTCTCTATTCTGGCGTCAGTCGTGGCATACTTTTCACGTAATTTCAGCAGCTGTGATATGACGGGACCGATGTATCGCATTTATACCGAAACTTTGTACGTGCATTGTGTGCTAGGAGCAAGGAACATGATTTCCACATTTGTGACGTCATCACTCTCACCGTTCGAACGTGTTGCGTTTTGGCGGTGCATTTCCCTTCCCAGTAGTGGGGCCAACATTGCCAACATGTCTAATTCTCATAACCATGTCAATGACAGTGAAAAACTATTTTTTCCAGTCCTATACTTTCTTTGGCCCATGAGTTTATAAGTTCAGTTCTGTCAGTAAAGTCGTGTTGGCTGTTCGTGCCCATTGGTTGTCTCTCGTGGGTAGTTACACAAACAACCGAGAGAACAGTGAACAACTTATAATCTCGTGCAAACACCTTTCATGCTAAACAAAAGCCAATACCATATGAAAGTAAAGACGTTGTATAGATCCTGGAGAGATTGATGTATCACACAGATATATCTGTATATCCATGTATGCAAATTTTAAAGGGTGACTCCGACCACAACAATCACAAAACATACAACAACTTGTACAAGCGCTGCATGAAGAGTGGACGGCGATCTCTGGTGTCGGCATCCTCTAGCTGACGTTGGAGACAATGGATACCTGCAACTGGCGCCCTAGAAGATATTAGATATAATACCATCTATTCCAGCGACGAAAACTCAACATCAGACAGACTGGTCTGCTCCATGTCAGGCAGTGCATTTGTCTGATTACTGACAGCACTACCCACTTGAAAGCACAACGATGACAACTTGGTTTATAAGAAAGAATGGTTAATAAAAATATATTTTGTATGTATTGACAAGTGACAAGTTTATTTGTATAGTCACGTGGCCAATAGGGCTGCTTATACAATACATGCACAAAATGTGCTGCTTCTGCATTTATATTGACCGCCTCCGTGGTGTAGTAGTTAGAGCGTCCGTCCGGAGAGCGGAAGGTCGCGGGTTCGATCCCCGACCGCGTCATACCAAAAGACGTTAAAATATGGTACTTGCGGCATGGTATCTCAGTGGGTTAGCACTATAAAACCAGCTTCAGTCTGGGCTAGTACAAGCAGCCGCACATACACATAGACATGCATGCACGTCGTCATATGAGCGAAATATTCTCAAGCACGACGTAAAACCCCATTTCACCTCACCTCGCCTGCATTTGAATTATTATACATGGCAGTTTATCTTTGAAGATCGGGTAGTCAGGCTCGCTGACTTGTTTGACACATGTCATCGGTTCCCAATTGCGCAGATCGATGCTCATGCTGTTGATCACTGGATTGTCTGGTCCAGACTCGATTATTTACAGACCGCCACCATATAGCTGAAATATTGCTGAGTGCGGCGTAAAACTAGACTCACTCACTCACTCATTATCTTGGAAGATTTCCTTTCAAATACGCAACATTGCTCATGCGGCGTTAAGCAATACTCACTCACTCACTCCTTTCAAATACAAACTTAAGATACATTTTTTTATAACTGAAGGACTGACATAACCTGGAATACTTTATCAGTGGAAGGATTGGCATAATGATAAGGCTGCAAAAATATTTCTTTCTTCGACTGGAAATAAGGATATTCCAAGAGGAAGTCAAACTCGTCGTCAATGGAACGCGAATTACAACTTGAGCACAAAAATATTGGGGGATAATCATTTGCTTTTAACCGTTTACACTGCTCTTTCAACTTCTGTGATGCACACTGAAATTTAAAATATACACTGAAGAAGTCGTTAGAAGATAGTGTTTTCCCTAGGCATTTTTAGCACGCCCATCATAGTTTTAAAACACAATATAAATTCCGTAACGAGTTATTTGAAATCGTTTCATGCCGACTCTGCAGCTCTTTACATCTCTGTGAAAAAATATAGTTTGGATTTGTGTGTATGAACCCAAGACTTCGAAACTTTTCTTTGCTTGACTGGACACTTTTCATCATCTCCGAAGGTGATACATAATATATAGTTGCTGCCAGAACTTCAATTAATTGGTGACGAAAACGTTCGCAATAAACAGACTCACTCAGTCCTGCTGTGGCAGATGATTGCGCACAAAGTCCGTTAAGTGGTAACCCTGAAGACATCGCGCGCATGACAGGAGAGGCCAAGCTTACTTAGTAAAGGAGTATCACTGGCGTCGACAGGTTGTAGTTCCTTACGATGGAGCTGATGTTAGCATGTTCCTTTGCGTGTTTAATAGTGCCTATCTCAGGCAGTCTTATGTGTTCACCTCTGGAGCTATTTGGACCTATCCAGATGAATTTGTCAGTTGTGAATGTCACATTTGAAACAGTCGACTCTTTGGGCCTGTTACACTGTGTACGAGAATGCTATGTGAAAAGACGGTGCAAGTCCTTTAATTATGAATCACAAACAGAAACATGCTTTCTAAACTCCAAAACTGATACCGAGGTTGAAGCGTCTGACAGGGTCAACATCGCGAACATTATGTACAGCAACATCGCCGACTGGTCCGGGAAGCTGGCGGGTGCTTGTAACAACCACACATGCCCCTTGGACTCCGTCTGTGTCGACAGGAACGACGTAGCCGCTTGCGAGACCATCTACTGCAAAAACACGACTTCTCCAGTCAATGGTGTTGTACAGCTGGGAGGACGTTCCTTCTTCAACCAAGGCGACGAGATGGAGTTTAGTTGCAGCACTGGGTATTTGGCGTCCGGGAAGATTGTCTGTGAGAAGGAGGGGGTATGGAATAGCACCGCCCTCTGCACCCTTTTACCACTTCAACCAAGGCGACGAGATGGAGTTTAGTTGCAGCACTGGGTATTTGGCGTCCGGGAAGATGGTCTGTGAGAAGGAGGGGGTATGGAATAGCTCCGCCCTCTGCACCTTTTTACCACTTAACTGAAACAGTGCGATTCATCCCATGGTGATGTAGAGTACTGGTTGCGGTACAACTCCTCCAGCAACATTGCCGTGAAAATCTATTGCTGGAAGATGGGGAGCGGAAACATTCTAAAGTTCATCACACAATCCGAAGAACACATTTGTTCTCTTTTTCCGACAACTTAACAGAACGAATGGACGACTTATTGTGGACGCAAATCCTTCACCCAGGTCAAAGTTTGTGGTCTAAGAAATATGCCCCGCATGCAAATGACTTTTCATCAGGAGAGTGCATCAGTGGAAATGCCCCTTTGGGTCGAGCAGAAAGCTACAGTGATGAGGATATGTGTCCCGACAAAGCTACTTTACGATCAACACAACCGGAACTGATTTTATTGTCGACCCGGATTTAACCTGTTACGCTACGGTTGGAAACGTGACCGTGACAAGGTCGCGTGGTTCATGGCACATGTTTGAGAAACTGCGACCAGAGTTCTCCCAACACTGTCTCAAGCTTGAATCACCCGATCTGAATCCAAGATTTGAACACTCAGCCACCAAAATTGGCTGGCACGGTCTCTAGTTGCAGTTGAACGCTCATGAAGAATCTCTCTTCTTCCAGGCCACATTCAGTGACCACGAGGCCATGGGCATGTGTTGCCGAAGTGGTACTGTTTGTCTTCTGATGATCGCCACTGAAGTCCCTTGGTGTAATTGTTCATGAATGTTTAGTGTGCACAGTTTTATAGCAGTTTGTCCATAATCTTAGATTATATATAGCTGTAGTATAATTTGCCTGTGTTTTTCTTTGTAAAGTGGGTTAGTCGTACTTTCATTATTTACCAAGAAGTATTTTCTGGCCAAGAGCCTGTGTGTCTGTACAGTTGGCTGGCAGAGTCTTACTTACATTAATTACTTACTCAACGAGTGACAGTCATAACAACGTATGGTATGGATTTACAACTTCTTTAATATTTACAACTACTTCTTGCCCCTTCATCAGGTGAATGACAGACTATGATTACGAGAAAAATATATAGTATGCACAGGAAGCCAGTGAGGTAGTATTCTAGACTGAGATGAAAAGAGATCAAGGAGATTAAGTGATGTGCTTTGATTGAGATGTACAGAGTTCAAAGAGATTAAGTGGTATCTTTATGCAATGGATGTACATAGTGTTTATACAACGAAAAGGATAGGATATACATGATGGTATTGACTGGAAGCAACATATGAAGTCCATAGCATACTTTGTTATGTTACCTTCCAACTTCTAAATGCCCATCAAGCATCTGAGTGATAGTCAGTGTCTCTTAATCCTGTAAGTAATTATCGGTTGTCTAAGCGTGGTTACACTCACCCAAGTTGTGATAGGTTATGGTCTTATAAAACCCAGTGAGTGATTTGTAATTATAAACCCGACAGTTGTCACTCGTTTGGTTATAGTATATCTGTGTATTTCTGTAGGGCGGGCAGTTCTGGTCATTTTCGTAGTGGCACTTGTTCAACAAAAGGTTAACAAAAGCTATTTTATTTATGACAACTTCTTTCTTTGTTATATTATGATGCGACGTTTCGGTATATGTTCTCTATACGTTGTCAAGCAAGAGTGAAGTACTACAGCACAGAGATGACTGATGACAGAAGTTGTAAAATCCATAAAGTATCTTACCTAACTCATTTTTCATCAACTTCTAAAATGCCATTTCAAATGCCAGGTCTGTTGTTCTGTTTGAGTGATTAGGCTAATTACCCTATATAGTTCATCAAGTAGAGGTGTGTTTTGGTTTTTTGGTTTTTCTCGGGGCTGATTTGTAGTTTTGTTGTTGTTGTTGGTTTTCTTGTGTTGTTTTTTTTCTTTTTGTTTTTTGTTGTTGTTTAGTGTGTGTTTTTGTTGGGGTTTTTTGGAGGGGATGGGGTCACTTTGGGTGATGTTTGTTCCCTTTTGCACCTATTGTGTTGTATTTATGTTGTTCATATGGTAGCCAAGTATATAACAAAAATGTTTTTAAAACGTTACTTACACACATTTCTTAAACTTTAGTATACTTTCTACAATTATTTAAAGCACAATTGACCGTATTATATTATGTAATGTTCTTATATAATCTATATGCCATGCCCTTTTAACACAATGGTTGTATATTCTCACTAAGTTTTTTATTTATATTGTTCATTTAATGTTGTTTTATGCATTATGCTTTTTCATATTTCATAAGTTTTAAATGTTTAGTCTCTCGTAAGCCAGTTATGGCTGGATGACGGTTTTTATATGAATATATTAAGTACCTTGATTATACCTATTGTAACTGCCATGTGACACTTTAATAATATACTTCTGTCTGTCTGTCTGTATATATAAACTGATTTAACCACATCACCATGCTTTTTTACTTATTTTTAATAAGATGTGCCGTTGAGATTGACATCCAACGATCGAGGGAAAAAATACCAGCGCCTTGAGCATGCACTAGTGCGTGGATATGTGCGCTATATAAATATCCAATAATAATAATAATAATACTTTTTCACTAGTTTTCTTGTATAAGTAGTTGTCCCTGTGACAATAGCCACCCCACAGCCGTGATTATCACAGTGGTAGACTCTTTAAAGATGCATTTAGAAGTTGGAGCAGTAAGGAAGGATAACAATATCAAACAAGTGCTTGCATCACTTTGGACTTTGAACACTTCGACTGGCATATTGCTCTAAACGGCGTTAAACCAAACTCGCTCACTCACTCAATCTTAGAAATAGAACTCCTATAGTTTACTTGCCAATAACACATTTTTACCTCATAAGGAAGTGTGGTAATTGCCCCCTTGTGCGAAGTTTGGCGTTTTAAAGGTAGTCTTGGAACCATTGCCAAGTTTTATATATCACATTGCTTTATTTTCGGAAAGGCTCTTTTTCCATGACCTAAGGGGCATGCATATATTACCCTTTGTTTGTTCTGTTGCGAAAATACAAATGTTTGTATGTTTGTTTGTTATTTAACGCCGCATTCAGCAATATTCCAGCTATATGGTGGCTTTCTGTAAATAATCGAATCTGGACCAGATAATCCAGTGATCAAGAGCATGCGCATCGATCTACACAATTGGGATACGATGACATGTGTCAAGAGCTGTACATTATAGCCGATACTGTTGGCTCTCATTGCCTGTAGCTGTAGCCAGACTGTTCCGGAAGTCGTTTGGTCTATATAAACTACCGGGCAAAGAAGAAAGTTTTTACTGACTTCACTTGACCAAAAAGTACAAACAAAGACATGTGTGAGATTTGTGATAATTATTTTACAAACAGGAATCATTTTCCAATAATTTGACTGAAAATTCATTGTAATGCTGGTCTCTGCATTTGCTGCAATTCATTAAGAAAGAGTCAAAGGGTCAAAATGAAAAATTACACAAACCACAGTTCATTCAAAAAGTGCATAAAGAGTCGCACAATGAGACAAGAGTCTGGGATAGAGCGAGCATGAAGTAACCAAACCCAACACCACGAATATGCCAAGACTTACGCAGGTGCAATGAGACAGCGTGATACGTATGGTCAATATGGGGCTTCACAACATCAGCTGGCAAGAACCTTCGACTGCAGCCAGGTCACCATCAGCAAATGGATAAACCGCTTCAAGCAAACGGGCTTGACTCAATAACACCTACTTTAAAAGTGGTAACTATCTTTTGCCCGGTAGTGTATTTCAATGACACAGCGTTGAATCATTTGTCGTACCAATCACAATGCTCCCTGGAAGAAAAGAAAGACTCTTTCGTATGTATGGTATCATTTGGCGTTCGTTTTTACGTGTGCCCATAACGGTACTGTCTTTGATGAACTGGCTTTGATGAACTGACTATATTAATAATGTACGTGTAGTTCGTTGGTTATAAAGGCTGCCATTTGTCATTACATCCAAATGATGTTGTGCCGAACGGTGCCGAGTTCTGAGCATACAATATCACGGACTGTTATAAGGCTATTAGACAATAATATTTTCATCACCGTCCTAGGTTTCATGCAAAGGCTAGATTGATTTCCATATGTAGTGGTAGTTTGCCTATGACCAGTCTATTCTGAGTGACTCATGTCGACAATTTATGTCTATCTCAAGCATAAGGTCTATAAAAAAGGCCTCCATTGTTTTCCTAGATCTGAAATCAACCAGCCAACCAGTCCTGCTCAAACAAACAAAACCGAAAAAAAATTAATTATCTGAAAGAATTCGGAATTAGGAAACCTTGGATATATTTTCTTTTGAAGATGTCTTGGTTAGTTGACAGAAACATCATTCACACAATCCATAGGGAATCAGTGAAGTGGAAGGTATAGACATCCGTTTCAGAGTGCGTTATTCTCCGCAATGTTCAACACTGAGTGAGTGAATGAGTGGGTTTAGTTTTACGCCGCACTCAGCAATATCTAGCTATATGGCGGCGGTCTGTAAATAATCGAGTCTGGACCAGACAATCCAGTGATAAACATCATGAGCATCGATCTGCTAAATTGGGAACTAATGACATGTGTCAACCAAGTCGGCGAGCCTGACTTCCCGATCCCGTTAGTCGCCTCTTACGACAAGCATGGGCTACTGAAGATCAATATTCTGACTCGGACCTTCACGGGTTTGTTCAACACTGAAGGAACCGATGTGTTTGTTTTTACAACATCACACTGTTACACAACATCAATATTATGTACAAACATATTTCATTATATATAAACACATGAACACCAATCTGGACACTGTTTGTATTACTTCCTTTTTGGGGTTTGAACAGATAGGTTCAGATACCTTAAGAAGGGAGATGGGTTTTGGCAATATTACAGCAACATACAGGCTTGGGACACCAGTTATTAGCTTCAGACACTGTGGGGAACTGAACACAAGTATTTGGCTTGTCGAGTGAGCACTTTGTAGG